TTTACATTCATCGTAGACCTTAACTTCTTGAACACTTCGACTGACACTCCCTTCGTCATGATGTCTGCAATCTAATTCTCAGTTCTGCAGTGTTCCAAGTTCATCTTCCCTTCTGCTACCTGCTCTCGAAGATAATAGAACCTCATTTTGATGTGTTTGCTTCAACCGCGTGCTATTGGATTCTTTGCCAAGTTGATAGTTGATATGTTGTCGATCTTCATGGTAATTTCTCCATGACTCTTCGCTTTGATCTCTTTGTCGAAGTTGATTCCTTCCTTCTGAAGAAATCCTTTTGCCACAAGTCTCGCCTTGTGTCGAGTTACTTCTCCTTTAGGACCTTCACCTTGTAAACCCGCTTCACATCAATTGTCTTCTTGCCTTGAGGCAAATCGACAAATGACCAGGTGTTGTTGACTTCGATGAAGTCTAACTCCTCATTCATTGCTTTCACCCATTTTGAATCTTTCAATGCCTCAACTGCATTGACTGGTTTAACATCTGTGTAGAAAGCATAGTATATCAGCTCACCTTCTTCATCGACCACATCATCTGATGTAATCACAAATTCTCGAAACCTTGCAGGCATGTGTCTTGTTCGTCGAGGTCTGCTTGGGCCAGCTTCATCTCTAACTTGTTCCTGTCGAACTTCACTTTCAACTTCAGTGGTTGGTTCTTCACAAGAGGTTTTCACTGAATCCTTCTTGGCATTCTTAGTCCAATCTCATTCTTTAAGCTCATCTATGATCACGTCCATGCTGATCCCTACCTGCTTATTCACTGGATCGAACAACTTGTAACCTCCAGTTGAATGATATCCTATCAAGATCATTTAATTCGACTTATCATCAAGCTTCCTTCTCAACTGATCTTGCACATATCTATGTGCTATAGATCCAAACACCTTCAAGTGACTGAGGCTAGGCTTGACACCAGACCAACATTCTTCTGGTGTGATTCCTTCAAGCTTCTTCATCGGACATCTATTTAATATGTATGTTGATGTCGAAACCGCTTCTTCCTATAATTTTATGGGTAGATGCTTTCCATTCAACATACTTCTCACCATGTTCATGATAGTTCTATTCTTTCTTTCTGCAATTTCATTTTTCTGCGAGTGTAGGGTGGCACCACCTCATGCATGATTCCTTCTTTTTCACATAATGCATCGAACTCTTTCGACACATACTCTCCACCACCATCAATCCTCAGAATTTTCAGCTTTCCACCACTCTGTCTTTCGACCATAGATTTGAATCTGGTAAATACCTCGATCACATCACTTTTTTCTTGATGAGATAAGTCCATAGCTTTCGACTGTAATCATTTATGAACATGACAAAGTATATGTTGCCTGCAATCAAGTTCACCTGGATTGGACCACATACATCAAAGTATATGACTTCCAGAATTTCCTTCGACTTCCTTCCTACATTCTTGCTGAAGCTATTCTTGCGTTGTTTTAACTGAGCACACTCTTCACAAACTTCACTTGGAATGTCGACTTCAGGTAATCCTGAAGCCATATTTCTCCTCTTTAGCTCTCTGATGTCATTGAAGTTGAGATGACCTAGATGAAAATGCCATTACCATTCATCTATGTTGACTGCAGTTGCTAGGCACTTGTGCTCCATCACATTGATTTCAATCTTGAACGTCCTATTCTAAGACATTGGAGCCTTCAAGATCAACCTACCACCTACGTCGAGAACTCTCATCATCTTGTCTTCGATCGACACCTTGTAGTTTTTTTCGACTAGTTGTCTTATACTAAGCAAATTACTCTTCATGCCTGATATGTACAACACATTTGATATGTACAACACATTGGAAATTGTTGACCTCTTGCCATATTTCCTCATAATTAAAACATTGCCAATACCTCCAGCTGCTAGAGTATTGTCATTTGAAAATTTCACCATGTTCTTCGATGGGGGCTTCATGTTGATAAACCAATCTTTCCTTCCAGTCATGTGTGATGAGCATCCTGAGTCCAAGTACCACTGGTCCTGGAATCTCTTTTCATCTCTTGTTATGACCATTAACAACATCTCTTCTTCTTCATGCTTCGCCATCTTTGCCTCAGTTTCTTGATTCTTCTTCTTCTTTTCTCGACATTCACTAAAATAGTGACCATACTTCTGACAATTAAAACACTGAATGTGACTTTTGTCAGGCTTTCTTCCACCACCTCTTCCTCTACCTGCAACACCACCTCTTTGGTTGCCTTGGTTTCAGGGTTTTCTTTTATTAGACCAGTTTCCTTCCTACTGATTTTGACCAGTCGAATTGTTGTAGCCTCATTTACCTTTGTTTTCATTCCAACTTCCTTTGCCTTTCCTTTCCTTTTCTGACTGCGCTTGCAAAGCCATATAACTCTTCGACTTTCCTGCAGCTCTCTCAGCCATCCTTTGTTCATGAGACTCAAGAATCCCTTGAAGCTCTTCCTTCGCCAATGTTGACAAGTCTTTCGATCTTCTATGGCTACTACCACGTGGTCGAACTTTGGAGCCAACTACCTCAAGATCTTTGCAACAACTAATCTTGATGTAAACACTTCTCCACATACCTTGAGTTGATTCACCAGGTTTGTAACTCTAGTAAAGAAATCTGTTATACTTTCACTTTCTTCCATCTGAAGCAATTTATAGGTTCTCTTGTGAGTTTGTAACCTCACATCTTTCACCTTTTCTGCTCTACCAAACGACTTTTCAAGAATCTCTCACTCTTTCTTCGCTGATTCTAAATCACTAACCTTTTCAAAATTATCTGGATCTACACATTGATGGATTATAAAGAGAGTTTTATAATCTTTATTCTTCAATTCTTTGAATGCAGTCTTTTCTTAATCTGTCGCGTTTTCTGCAAGCGGTGCTACTCCTCCCTTCACAAGATCCCAAATATCTTGATAACAGAAAACCGCCTTAATCTGCTTGCACCAATTCTCATAATTATCTTTCTTGAGAATTGGAAGGTTTGCCGGAAAGTGACAGTTTGGATGATTCATCGCCTTCACGATTTTCCTTCCTTGAATTGTAATCGAAACTCTAGATACCAGATGTTGGAAATTCAACCATAACCTATGGAGAATTTCACTCAATCAATCTTGATCTCAAGATTGTTTCAACTCACGTAATGACAATGAAAAAAAAGTTTAGAAAAAAAGTAAACGTTGGAGAAGAAAAGGATGAACAATTTTCTGCAGAGAACTCTCTGCCCCCAAACTGTGGAAATTCTGATATTTCACTTGCAACTGCAAACTATGAATACAAAATATGATGAGATGAAATGAGATGTTTAGAAAATAAGGATTTCTCCCTATTTATAGATTTAGGTTAGCTTGCACCCCAAGCCAAAGTCTAAACTATAAAAGCTCAAAAATATATAATCTAGTATTTCTAAATCAAATCTGATATTTCTAAATCAAATCTAATCTTTCTAAAACAATGAATTACATATTTAATAATTATTACATGTTTAACCCCAAGTAAAAAACCTTGTTTTAACTCATATCTTTGTCAGCAATATGGAAGATTGTTGGATGACTTGCTTTACTAATAGATTAACACAATATTTTTTACTTCTCAAAGCTTCAATTACTTACACCCTAAAGAACATGTGGGAGGTAAGAAATTTTGACAAGTTTAAAGGTAAATATCCTAATATCTTGCACATAATAAACAAAATCAAAAATCAAATTGTGTCGATAGGGACAAACTTAAAATATACTGCTTCATTGGTTGTGAATGATTTCCAAATCATGAAAGCCTTCAAGCTTGTTATTAGGTCATTACGTACTCCTCAAATCAAAGAAGTCTTCTGACATCATCCCCATCTAGATTGGTTAAAGTTCAATTGTCATGGAGCTTGCCATCATAATTCTCTCATTGCGTTAAAGTGCAATTGTGATGATTGTGGTGGAGCTCACCACCATAATTCTCTCCTTGCGTCCTCCTCAAACCAAAGAAGTTTTGTGGCATCATCCCATTTAAATTGATTAAAGTGCAATTATGATGGAGCTTACCACCATAATTCTCTCCTTGCCAGTTGTGGTGGAATTTTTTTAAACAATCAACGAAATTTTGCTAACAATGTTGAATGGTCTTCCTTTATTAGTGTCATGTTTTTCAAAATCATTCTCTACTACCTTGACAACTTAGAAATTATTAGTTTAGTTACTTAGCTTTCTTTGCACAGACACATGTTCATTTCACACATTTATAGAGAAGGAAAGGAAATATTTGTGCCGATAAGGAAAGGAAATATTTGTGCCGATTACATGACCAATTTAGATCTCAATTCCATCTCTCTCACCATTTTTAACTTCATTTATAGCGGCATTATGAAGGACTCTACAAAATACACTATATATGCCTTTGAAAGTCTCCCTTTTGTAATACTTTGGTTTGCAAGAAATGAGGGTTTGTTAAAAAAAAAAAAATTGACTACAAATTAAAGGCTGCCCTGCCTCACATGCACATCAATTTTGACCACAGATTATATTATATTATTTATAATCCCTGACATTATATTTTTGCAGCTATATAAAACTCCATTCTTTTGCCGGACAATATTGACAAAAAAGACAACTAAGAAATAGTAAACTCTTTTGTCTTTTAAGTAATTAGTTACAATATTTCTTCTAGATGCTTCAATACTAAAACACCTTCCCCTTTCAACCCAGAGAATATTGTTATATATAAACATATCCTCTTCTGTGTCATGCTTTCCACTGGTATGGGATTATGTAGCAAAATTGAAGTGTTACACCCAAATAAAAATGAATATACATAAAAATACATAAAAATAATAGCAATGGTCAATAAGCTCAAAAGATTGTGTCATTATTTTCAATAGACCGTGAGAAGCACACCATCATACAAACCTCTTATTCCATCAAGTTTTGAAGCAATTACAATACTTCAACTTCAAACATAGAAATTCATAGCAGAAACAACGGTAAATTAAAATGACTGACAATTTATTCATCATAGCCTTGTTTGTTACTGAAGAACAAGGCATTCGTGTGAACCAGCCACCATAGAAGTCTGAGTAGTGCTTGAGCTTACTGCATCTGATATCTCTATGCACTGAGGCTCGTGCGTGACTTCAATTTTGTCAGATGTAATGGCTTGAAAAATAAGAGAATTGACTTCTTTAAACCTCGCTTCAGAGAGAGATACCTCGGCGAGAAGCCTCCAAGCATTGGCTTCAGAAGCCTCGTTAAAGTCCTTTTTCCTCTTTAACACCATGTGGCCGCTGATTTCCCAGACGGCCGGATTAACTTGAGTGTCCAGAAGCTCAGCGCTCACTTCTCCAAGAGCTTGTTTTTCTGCATAGCACTGTTTTTCAAATTAAATTAGTTACAGAAAATATCAATTGTGCAAACTATGGTTTAGAGTTTATAAATAGCAGCTACAGCAGGGGTACTACGCTGTAGATTCTGAGACAAATTTACCTGTGGTAAGAGAAAAACTCGCCTTCCGCAGTCAGAAATAAGAACATTGTAAGGTATGTTGTTGTGTTGAAGACAGATACAGGCTTCAGAAACAGTATTTGCCAAATCATCCAATGCATGACCACCCTCAAAGACAAGACCTCTGACAGGATAGTTCAACAATTTAGATATTTTCACATCACGATTTAGTTTGCCGATTTTCTTAGTAGGAGCCTTCTCAATTGGAAAAGGCAGCTTCAAATAGTATGCCTGGATTTGTCAAAATCATGTTTTCATTAGTTCCGGAACACTAAATAAGAAATGCAACAAGCCAATAACCAATTTGAACAATATGGTGGTAATTTAATCTATTCTCAATTTGCTCAGTAATGAGTACCTGGAAGTGAAGATGGTTAATAGTAGCGAATGCCCCCAAGCTGTTGTAACCCAATCGAAAATAGGGATTTCCGGCTTCGGCTGCCATGTGAAGGGCAAGCAAAAAGCTTGCGTGATCAATCCTTTGGGGCAAACACTCAAAAATTCGAGGAATCAGCAGCACATGCCCATATTCAATAGGACTAACCTGTTAAAAGAGTACATAAACAAAACAAAACAAAACAAACATATTAACACCTATTTCAACTGAACCCTCAAGCATGGTTTTACATTGTAGTCGACAACCGCAAATTGCAGCCTGTAAAGGGTTTGGAGATCTCCGCGACCACATCGCGACGGGAGATCTACACAGCCTCATTGTGACAACAATTTCGGTTGCATTTGCCTCCAATTTCTTCTAATATGAAGGATCACAATGTAACCCCAATAAAGACTGCAATTTAAAACAATGAACTAAACAACAAAAAGGTCCTACAAAGAGAATAAAATCCAATAATCATACATTGATGGCTACAAAACTAGGAGAATTCTCAACAACAACGGGTGCATTCGGAAAGAACTGAGCATCCCCGTCACTGCTAGCCTCAAACTGAAACAGGATTTCTTCTTGTCCAACTTTAGTGAAGTTGAACTTGGTTTCATCAAAAGGCTGGAGAACCGTGTCAACCCGAAACTCAGTTGGCCTCTTCTTGAGGTGACGACCCTCGTTCAACTGAGCAATGAAACCATGCTCACCCGGAATCACCTACTCCCAAAAAAAAAACACATGCATGAAACCAAGGCCACTATTAACAATACAAACCAAAACAAAACCAGAAGAAAACAACAACAATAATAACAATAACAAGTAGAGAAACATGTTAAAACCTTGGTTTCACAAGCAGTGACATCATAACGGAAAAGGCCTCTCTGCATACGATCCTCCCACTACACAATCAAAAATTCAAACCTCAAATCAAACATATAGCATAATGGTACAACAATAAATAATTAAAATTTATTCAGGACCATCTATGTAGTACCGATACTTCTACAAAGCTAAAACCATAATACAACAATACAAGTAGTTCTATTCTATGAAGCACGAACACCACGGACACCGGAAACACGATAGAGACAGGTCGACACCGGTAACAATTTAAAAAATGAATAAGTTAAACATAATCATAAGGATCAGTGTCAGTTTTGGACATCGACACTGACACACCTTGTTTCCGAGGTGTCAGTGCTACGGTTTATATTCAATCACTTCTATTTTTTTGCAGTATTATTGGTATTTACATGTTAATGTGAGTGTTTTTGTTTCTTACATAACTTCAAAATTCCATAACTACCTGTCCAAGAATAATCGAGTCCAAAAAAGCCACACGCCGTTCGTTGCATGCAAGGAGAGCCAACTCCTCTCCATCAACCTTATCACCTCTTTTGAAACCATACAGAGGGAGCTTAGCCTCTATTACCAACAAAAACACAAGAAAATGCATCATCATCGTGCATAATTCAAAACCAAAACAACAAAAAATAAAAATTCAATAAAAACACTACCTTGAATGCAACAACTCTTGAGACAATTTCGACCACAACCACTAACAGCATCATCCTCATATTTTTGATAATTGGAAACCACAGTAGGAACCCTCTTAATACTCAACATCTTCTCTATCTCTCTATAAACCTCTCACCAAATCCAAAAACAACAACAACAAAAATCTTTTTTTTCTTCAAACTAGATCTTAAGCAATAGAAACTAATTGAATTATTCTAAAACCTAAAACAGAAAAGAACCACCACCAGCAAGGAAAAGTAGATCAGAGGGACTACCACCTTCAGAAGGCAAAGCACCACGCCCGCCGTGTGGCGAAGGGTTGGTCTCAATCACACAACCCTTGCGTCGTACACAACGGGCATGAGACAGAAACCGTGAAACCCTTTGAATAGCCGTGATGATTTCTACAATGCTTCAACACCCTTTCGGGTTTTCAGTACCACACAACCTAAAAATCTCTTCTTTTTCCTATCAAATTTCGACCCACAACAAGAAACGGCGAAAAGAGAGAAATTTGAGAGCTTTGTGCGGAATTGGGAAGAAAAGGGATGAATTTTGAAATTAGGGTTGTTAATTTATTGTATTTTGTTATGAGTTGGTGTATATATGTAGAAGACAAGTGATTGAATTTAGTTGTATTTTGCTATGGCTTGGTGTATATGGTGAGGACCAATGATTGATTTTATACTCATTAATAAATAAAAATAATAATAATATAATATAAAATAAAATAAATAAAAATATAATAGAGGAGTAAGAGGTTTGTGGTTATGATTGGATCTTATTGTTATATTTCCTTTTCCTTTTTGCATGAGATCACATTTGAAGGAATATGTGGATCTTCTAAAACCTTTACTTTAAGGTATCACAAAAATCAGTTACCTATACTTTTTATTAATTATTGTTTTTGATATTTACCTTTTAATCAATAAAAATTATTATTGTTAATATTTACTTATTTTAGAGAGAAAAAAAAAAAGAAAATGTTCGAGAAGTATGTTATAATATTTTATTGATAAAAAATATTTTTTTAATGAAATTATGAACTTGATTGTTACCAAAACAAACTATCAACTTGTTGGATAGAAAATAAATTTTAAATTTTTTTTAATTGAAACAATACTTTTAATAATTCTGAATTCCTTTGTTTAAAATTTTACAAAAATAATTTGATTTTAGATGAAAAATAAAACCAAAAAGTGTTGATTTTTGAAATAAATATTAAATATATTATTTCATAAAAATTATAAAATTTCTAAATTTAAATAAATTTAAATAGATATAAGTAAATACTACCGTCAAAAATTCAAAACTGACATTTTATTATCATTTGTTTCAAATAGTTGAACTATATCATATCCACTATAATTTAATATATATTAAATCATTTGATATTTTAATAATTTGAGGCAAATGGCCTTAACTAATGGAATTGATAATTGAAGAAAAAAAATAAATTTAAAAGATAAAAATTGATTGATATAACCGAAATATAAAAAAAAAATCAAACAGCATAGAATTAATCTCTAAAAAAATATAAAAAAATAATATGATAAACTTTTATGTTTTTAAAAGATTTTAAAATAGGATTAAATATGTAAGAGATTCTTATAAATATGTCAGCATTTAAGTTTAATCTTTTTAAAAAAAAATTTTAAACAATAGTTTTCACAAAAAATTTCGTCCCTAAATGTGATCCTTATAAATATGCATTAACAAAGGCTTATGTGACACGCTGTCGCTACTGCGAAAATAAGGTGCCGGCAAAACAGAAGAGTCGCCACCTTTTGTTATTTATCCCTCAGAACGGGAAAGTAAACGATCGGAAAAAACCTGACGAAAAGGTATAAGACAAGGTCATCGCAACCAATGTCTAGGTTCGGGAGCCGGTTACGCAAGGGGAATGTATTAGCACCCCTCACGTCCATCGTACTCGATGGGATCCACGATTGTTGTGTTTATCTGACGGGTTGTTTATCTATCTACGCTAAAAGGTCTGGTCTGAAAATAAAAGAAAATGACTCGGCAGAACACATCAGTTATATGCCTACGTATTCCCGTCTGGAACGAGAAATCAGAGTCAACGTAGTTCGCCTAACTACGGGTGATGGGGAAGGTTGCTCGCCAAGATATCGCATCTTGTGCCTACATACTCTCAACAGGCTTGAGAGATCAGAGCTAACGTAGTTCGGGACAACGAGAGACACAGGTTTGTCTTTTTATCTGAGTAGGGTTAACAGACAGTTCCAGCAGTTGGTGTATGCAGCTCGACCATTGGAGACTTAGGCGTTACCGTTTGCGGTAGAACCGGGAGTTAACGACACTCTTTGCTTCAGAAAAGCTTTCCTTTGAATTAAAGGTCCAAGAGAACAAAAAGAAGGTTTGACGTTTGTTTTCTGTCTTTTACGGAAGAAGTGTTTTTTATGAACGTTTGTAGTTTGTACAGCACTAGAGACTATGACTTAGGAGCGAATGCGTCGCATATCGTCCAAAGGATATATACTAAACACTCTAGATGATTGAGAGGAGACCGCTCCATTATCATTTCCCAAGTAGCTTAAGGCTCGTAACGCGCTTGCACTAACTTGCCTTTATTATGTTTTTTACTGTTGTTTTTGAGATAAGAAGAGAACGAACTCCATGGGGAAACTGTACAGTCCTAATGTTGTCATGCAAAATCGATCCTATGATTGAGGTTAGGAGGGAGCTGCCTACTGTTATCATGCATGGTTAGGACCCTAATGTCTATCACATTCCAACTTGCACAAGAAGGAATGGAAATTCTAAGGGAAGGAAGACAAAAGAGGAAGAAGAAAATAATTATAAGAATGCAAACATGAAAGGCAAACATGGAAGGTAAGGATGCAATGCAAGTGAGGGAGGAAATATATGTGGGGCAGGAGCCTCCACAAGCTCATCTCAACCTCAAGCCAAAGTATGAATAAATGCAAAGATAGGAGGAGAAGAAATGCGACAAAAGCAAATCAATACAATCAATACAAAGGAAGTCCCCAAGGATTCACCACTTTAGGCATGCCTTAGAGACCTCCAAAGGAGGGACCTAAATCTTCCTTAAATGGCACACCAAGGTCATTGGACAGAGGATATCATATTCTAATCATAAAACCTAAGCCACAAATGAATATCAAGGATAAAATGGTAAGGAATCAAGAGAAACCTACAATGAGAGTACATAAACCACCATATGGAATCACAACGTACAAGCATGAAAGTAAAGCATCAAATGGGAAAGCTATGTAAAATATAAACATCCACCAAATGATCCACAAGACATATAATATGTCCACAATAAGAAGCAAACACTATAATGTCCATCACACAAGCAATACATGGCTTTTGGAGCCAAAACAATACAAATGTCCAAGCGGGATAGCCAAATTATGAGTCAAATTGCAAAATAAGGAAAAAATAGTAAAAATGCATCTAAAAATTCCAAATAAATTCTCCAAGCACCTACAATGTGTCAACAATCAGAGCTTAAAAGGATAGAGGAAGAGTCCAAAAGGGAGGGCCTCAACAGAGGGCAAACAGCAAGGGTGTTCCATAACTAAGGCAAACTAGAGCATGTACAAAAATGGTGTTCAAAACCTATACAAATGGTAGTATAAAATCCAGAGAAAAATATATTTTAAACCCTCAAGACGTGTACAATAATTCCAAAAAAGATTAGGCAAAAATATTTTGTTTTGATACCCCAATGAAATTCTACACGAATAGAGGTACAAATTCACGATTTTAATGGATATTAAAATGGGAAAAATCATAACTAAATGAAAATTAATCCTAAAAATACTATTTCAATTTCTGGAATCTCCTAAGATGTTCAAGAATAACAGGAAAAAATATCAAGAAAAAATAAGCAATATTACTATTTTTCACGTAATTAAAACTAACATGTAAGAAATGAAGAAAAGTGAGGAAAACCTGAAAAATGAATAAAACCACGTGGTAAATAGCAACAGAATTCAATATTATCTATTGGGCCTGACAGAATGGGGGTGTGGATAACAAGTCACTTAAGCCCAGCTGAGTCACTTAAGTGAATGGTGATGTGGCGCGCTGAGGAGTGTTGGATGTGAGTACAAAGTCAATGTTTCCAATCCGATCCAAAGGTGCTGGGTTATCTTCTTCCTTTTGAAAATTAGAAGAGGGAACACGTACATTCCGCCGCCGGTGACCGTGAGGGGCGGCCGGAGCTCTCTTCCACTCTCTATCTCTCTCATTTCTTCATGAAAATCAACATTTCTTGAACCAAAATTGAAGCATTTTTCGCAGGGAACAAGAATATCACAATGAATTGAAGTGAAACCCCATGAATCTCTAAACCCGTGGTGCATCCAAGAAATGTCAAGAACGCAAATTCTTCATGAAACTTCCCCAAACATTACCAGAAACGTGATTCATGCCAAGGGTGATGTAGTGGTGCAAAAATGGTGCAAGAAAGATGCATAATTAATGAGTAATCTTGATTTTCCAATACCTCTAGAAATGGAGTTGTGGAGCTTCAATGGGACACAAATTCTTCTGGAAAATTGTGTAGAATCACTCAATGATAGTTGTTGAAGGTGTTTGGATAGGTGAGAAGGCCTGAACCCATGAAAAATGAAAAACTCAAAAATCACTTGGAGCTCACTTTTTCAATTACTATAACTCTGCTCATACACCAAAATTATCCCAAAAAATGATGAATGTACTCCATAGATTATATAGAAGATGTTTGTGACAAATTGGAGGCTCAATTGTGGCTTGAACATCAAATTGGACTTTTGGATTTTGTGAAGTTGGAAGCCCATGGAAGTGCTTCAATTCATGGCCAAAATCCCTTATTTTTTACTCAATTCTATTCCTTGTAGTGTAAGGAAGATCAAAGGCTCATAATCTCCCCTTGTTTGGATCTTAATGGCTATGATCCATTATGTTGCTTAAACATGAAGAACGCTTGAAATAGTCCATGAGTCATGCCTCAAATGCAATTGATTTTGTCACTAATGATCTTAAAATGTATTTTCCCTTCAAAATGAGTACAAATATGACTATATTTGATTAAAATTTGGCAAGATCACAAACTTGGATTTTCACATGCCTTT